TGAACCTTGCAACATGATCAACAATAGTCACTGCTGTCATCTGAACCTTCAAATAGATCAACAATAGTCACTGCTGTCATCTGAACCTTGCAACATGATCAACAATAGTCACTGCTGTCATATGAACCTTGCAACATGATCAACAATAGTCACTGCTGTCATATGAACCTTGCAACATGATCAACAATAGTCACTGCTGTCATATGAACCTTGCAACATGATCAACAATAGTCACTGCTGTCATATGAACCTTGCAACATGATCAACAATAGTCACTGCTGTCATATGAACCTTGCAACATGATCAACAATAGTCACTGCTGTCATCTGAACCTTGCAACATGATCAATAGTCACTGCTGTCATCTGAACCTTGCAACATGATCAACAATAGTCACTGCTGTCATCTGAACCTTGCAACATGATCAACAATAGTCACTGCTGTCATCTGAACCTTGCAACATGATCAACAATAGTCACTGCTGTCATCTGAACCTTGCAACATGATCAACAATAGTCACTCTGTCATCTGAACCTTGCAACATGATCAACAATAGTCACTGCTGTCATCTGAACTGCAACATGATCAACAATAGTCACTGCTGTCATCTGAACCTTGCAACATGATCAACAATAGTCACTGCTGTCATCTGAACCTTGCAACATGATCAACAATAGTCACTGCTGTCATCTGAACCTTGCAACATGATGAAAAATAGTCACTGCTTCATCTGACCTTGCAACATGATCAACAATAGTACTGCTGTCATCTGAACCTTGCAACATGATCAACAATAGTCACTGCTGTCATCGAACTGCAACATGATCAACAATAGTCACTGCTGTCATATGAACCTTGCAACATGATCAACAATAGTCAACTGCTGTCATATGAACCTTGCAACATGATCAACAATAGTCACTGCTGTCATCTGAACCTTGCAACATGATCAACAATAGTCACTGCTGTCATCTGAACCTTGCAACATGATCAACAATAGTCACTGCTGTCATCTGAATCTTGCAACATGATCAACAATAGTCACTGCTGTCATATGAACTTGCAACATGATCAAAATACTGCTGTCATATGAACTCTGCAACATGATCAACAATAGTCACTGCTGTCATATGAACCTTGCAACATGATCAACAATAGTCACTGCTGTCATATGAAACTTGCAACATGATCAACAATAGTCACTGCTGTCATATGAACCTTGCAACATGATCAAAAATAGTTACTGCTGTCATATGAACCTTGCAACATGATCAACAATAGTCACTGCTGTCATATGAACCTTGCAACATGATAAAAATAGTCACTGCTGTCATATGAACCTTGCAACATGATCAACAATAGTCAACTGCTGTCATCTGGACCTTGCAACATATCCAAGAGTGATGATATTGCACTGAAGACAAAGAGCTTTTCAGCATCTTGCAACCTCGATGTTGAAGGCATAAGGACCACGAAGGAAGAATGAAATAGATTTGTCTCTCTCTCTCGTCACTACAGTAGTCTAGATCTTGCAACAGACTCACGTACAATATTGCAAGAAACACACTCAACACACAAACATGGAAACACTCTTGCAATGTTGACCTATATTGAAAAAGACCCCTGCAATGTTGACCTATATTGAAAAAGACCCCTGCAATGTTGACCTATATTGAAAAAGACCCTTGCAATGTTGACCTATATTGAAAAAGACCCTTGCAATGTTGACCTATATTGAAAGACCCTGCAATGTTGACCTATATTGAAAAAGACCGCAATGTTGACCTATATTGAAAAAGACCCCTGCAATGTTGACCTATATTGAAAGACCGCAATGTTGACCTATATTGAAAAGACCCTGCAATGTTGACCTATATTGAAAAAGACCCTTGCAATGTTGACCTATATTGAAAGACCCGCAATGTTGACTTATATTAAAAAAAACTTGCAATGTTGACCTATATTGAAAAAGATTGCAATGCTGACCTCTATGAACGATTAAAACATATTGTTGCAATATCAGTGTTGAAGATAACTTGTTAAAGATAAGTGTGACGTGATCTTGCAATAGATAGCAACAATGTGCATGACTCTGCAACACTAGGGTGAGATAACATAACTAGGTGATTCACTGATAACTCTCTCTCTCTCTCTCTCTCACACAGCTAAAGCTAACCTCCTCCCTCCTCTCCCACAGCCAAAGCTAACTCTCCTCCTCCCCCTCCTCTCACAACAGCCAAAGCTAACTCTTCTCCTCCCCTCTCCCCCACAGCTAAAGCTAACTCTCCTCCTCCCCCCTCTCACACAGCTAAACACAGTATTTTCTGTCAGAGGAAAAAGCTAGAATAATCTTAAGCTATGTATGTATGTATGTATGTATGTATGTATGTATGTCAGGGGCCACTTGACACAGGTACCATCTCTGCTGACACTTGACACAGGTACCATCTCTGCTGACACTTGACACAGGTACCATCTCTGCTGACACTTGACACAGGTACCATCTCTGGACACTTGACACAGGTACCATCTCTACTGACACTGACACAGGTACCATCTCTGCTGACATTTGACACAGGTACCATCTCTGCTGACACTTGACACAGGTACCATCTCTGCTGACATCTTGACACAGGTACCATCTCTGCTGACACTTGACACAGGTACCATCTCTGGACATCGACACAGGTACCATCTCTGCGACATCTTGACACAGGTACCATCTCTGGACACTTGACACAGGTACCATCTCTGCTGACACTTGACACAGGTACCATCTCTGCTGACACTTGACACAGGTACCATCTCTGCTGACACTTGACACAGGTACCATCTCTGCTGACACTTGACACAGGTACCATCTCTCTGACCAAGGACCATCTCTGCTGACACTGAACAGCCACTCGACACTTGACAATACTCTCTGCTGACATCTTGACACAGGTACCATCTCTGCTGACACTTGACACAGGTACCATCTTCCGACACTTGAAGACCATCTCATGACACTTGACACAGGTACCATCTCTGCTGACACTTGACACAGGTACCATCTCCTGACATCTTGACACAGGTACCATCTCTGCTGACACTTGACACAGGTACCATCTCTGGACATCTTGACACAGGTACCATCTCTGCTGACACTTGACACAGGTACCATCTCTGCTGACATCTGACACAGGTACCATCTCTGCTGACACTTGACACAGGTACCATCTCTGCTGACATCTTGACACAGGTACCATCTCTGCTGACACTTGACACAGGTACCACTCTGCTGACATCTTGACACAGGTACCATCTCTGCTGACACTTGACACAGGTACCATCTCTGCTGACACTTGACACAGGTACCATCTCTGCTGACACCTTGACACAGGTACCATCTCTCTGCTGACATCTGACACAGGTACCATCTCTGCTGACACTTGACACAGGTACCATCTCTGCTGACATTACAGGTACCATCTCTCTGACACTTGATACAGGTACCATCTCTACTGACACTTGACACAGGTACCATCTCTGCTGACACTTGACACAGGTACCATCTCTCTGCTGACACTTGATACAGGTACCATCTCTGCTGACACTTGACACAGGTACCATCTCTGCTGACATCTTGACAGGTACCATCTCTGCTGACACTTGACACAGGTACCATCTCTGCTGACATCTTGATACAGGTACTCCTCTGCTGACACTTGACACAGGTACCATCTCTGCTGACACTTGACACAGGTACCATCTCTGCTGACATCTGACACAGGTACCATCTCTGCTGACACTTGACACAGGTACCATCTCTGCTGACACTTGACACAGGTACCATCTCTGCTGACACTTGACACAGGTACCATCTCTGCTGACACTCTGACACAGGTACCATCTCTGCTGACACTTGACACAGGTACCATCTCTGCTGACACTTGACACAGGTACCATCTCTGCTGAGACTTCCTGACACAGGTACCATCTCTGCTGACACTTGACACAGGTACCATCTCTGCTGACACTTGACACAGGTACCATCTCGGATACTTGACACAGGTACCATCTCTGCTGACACTTGACACAGGTACCATCTCTGCTGACACTTGACACAGGTACCATCTCTGCTGACACTTGACACAGGTACCATCTCTGCTGACACTTGACACAGGTACCATCTCTGCTGACACTTGACAGGTACCATCTCTGCTGACACTTGACACAGGTACCATCTCTGCTGACACTTGACACAGGTACCATCTCTGCTGACACTTGACACAGGTACCATCTCTGCTGACACTTGACACAGGTACCATCTCTGCTGACACCTGACACAGGTACCATCTCTGCTGACACTCTGACACAGGTACCATCTCTGCTGACACTTGACACAGGTACCATCTCTACTGACACTCTGACACAGGTACCATCTCTGCTGCGCCTGACACGCACAGGTACGATCTCTGCTGACACTGACACAGGTACCATCTCTGCTGACACTTGACACAGTACCATCTCTGCTGACACTTGACACAGGTACCATCTCTGCTGACACTTGACACAGGTACCATCTCTGGACACTTGACACAGGTACCATCTCTGCTGACACTTGATACAGGTACCATCTCTGCTGACACTTGACACAGGTACCATCTCTGCTGACACTTGACACAGGTACCATCTCCTGACACTTGACACAGGTACCATCCTGCTGACACTTGACACAGGTACCATCTCTGCTGACACTTTGACACAGGTACGATCTCTGCTGACATCTTGACATAGATACCATCTCTGCTGACACTGCACCTCCTTCGTCGTGCACCAGCTGACACAAGGGACGTGTTCAGGTGTCAAGAGTTAATTAAAGAGTTGAATCACCTGAAGCTTATCTGCCCCAGGTGAGAGAGAGAGAGAGAGAGAGAGATTGCTCCTCCTTCCCCCCTCCTCCCCCTCCCTCCCTCCCCCTCCCTCCCTCCCTCCCTCCCACTCCCTCCCACCTCCCTCCCTCCCTCCCTTCCTCCTCCCCTCCCTCCCCTCCCCCTCCTCCCTCCTCTTACATAACACTTCTCATTTCACTATCAAAATCATCGCTACTAATCTGTCTTCATTCTCACCTGTTGCGTGTGTGGTAAGGTGAGGTCAGGTTAGGTCAGGTTAGGTTAGGTTAGGTTAGGTTAGGTTAGGTTAGGTTACATAAGGAGTCTGCAATAGGCCTGTTGGCAGCTCCTGTCGAGAGTTACTACCACTCTCTATCATCCATGAATCTATCTAGCCTCCCTTTGAAACTTTCCAGCACTTACTACAAAGTTGCTAAGCTTGTTCCACTCGTCCACCACCCTATTTGTGAACCAGTTTCTTCCTATCTCCTCCTAAACCTAAACTTATCCAACTTGAATCCGTTGTCTCGAGTCCTATCCTACCTCGGATATTATAAGAACTTTATCTATATCCCCTTTATTGATTCCTTCACCCACTTAAATACTTCTATCATATCTCCCGCACCTCTTCGTCTTTCTAGGAATGCAAGTTATTTTTTTTAACCTATCCTGATATGGAAGGTTTCAAGTCCCGGAATCATTTTTATTCTATCCCTGCACCGACTTAGTGAATTGATATAATTCAACACGACATTACAAGGTTAGTGTTAGGTTATGTTAGGGTTAGGTTAGTGTTAGGTTAGTGTTAGGTTAGGGTTAGTGTTAGTTAGTGAAGAAGTGTTGGGTTAGTGTTAGGTTAGGTTAGTGTTAAGTTAGTGTTAGGTTAGTAGAAGTTAGTGTTAGGAGTTAGTGGTTAGTTAGTGTTAGGTTAGTGTTAGGTTAGTGTTAGTTGGTTAGTGTTAGGTTAGTGTTAGGTTAGGTTAGTTAGTGTTAGGTTAGTGTTAGGTTAGTGTTAGGTTAGGTTAGGTTAGGTTAGTGTTAAGTTATTTTATGTTTGGTGAAGGAATACTTCGTGGTTTATTGAGGAGAGACAGACCCTTGTTGATAAAGGCTTTAATAGCCCAGAGATTTGGGTGGAGTCCCAACTAAGCCTCTGATTGGTTGATTTGTATCTTGTGATTGAAATGATTGTTGTTTTTGTTTGTTTGTTTGTTTGTTTGTTGTTGTTTCTGAAGATTTTGTTGAAATTATTATTATTATTATTACTATTATTGTTGTTGTTATCATCACAGTAACCACCATGCTTATAAAGGTCACTTGTCAGATAGGAGAGTTTGGTGTAGGTGTTGGCAGGTGTTGGTTTGGAGGTGTTGGCAGGTGTCAGGTGTTGCAGGTGTTGGCGGGTGTTGACAGGTGTGTTGGACAGGTGTTGGCAGTGTTGGCGGGTGTTGGCGGGACAGGGTGTTGACAGGTGTGTTGGCAGGTGTGCAGGGGTGTTAGGGTGCTGAAGGGTGTTGAAGTGTGTTGGCAGGTGTGTTGCAGGTGTTGGCAGGTGTTGGGTTGTTGCAGGTGCTGACAGGTGTTGGCGGTGTTGGAAGGTATTGGCGGGTTGGCAGGTGTGTTACAGGTGTGTTGCAGGTGTTGGCAGGTGCTGACAGGTGTTGACAGGTGTGTGCAGGTGTGTTGGCAGGTATTATCTGCCTTCATTAATATAACAGCTGTGACCTGGTGATACACTTGACCTAAAACACCCAAGTCTTGACGGGTATTGGCAGGTGTTATTGTTTACATACACAGCTGTTGTGTCCCCAATATTAATATGGAGAGAGAGAGAGAGAGAGAGAGAGAGAGAGCCCTTAACGCTTCACTGGTCAGGAACGAGTCACTTAATATTCGACACACTTGAAGACATCCTCTTGTGGGTACTCCATCACCCGATATCCGCACCAAACGGATCGATAAGACTCATGTTAAGACATAATGAATTAAAGTGGATACATATAATTATACATTGGAAACTAACCTAACCTAACCTGACCTAACCTAACCTAACCCGACTTAAGCTGACCTGACCTAACCTAATCTGACCTAACCTAACCTAACCCGACCTAACCTGACCAATCTGACCTAACCAAACATAACCTAACCCGACCTGACCTGACCTGACCTGACCTAACCTAACCCACCACTACCACCACTACCACCACCGTACCTAATGCCCTCACTACCAACACCACTTAGGCCTACCAGTTTTTCCAACGCTCTCAAGGCCAACAACTTGATCTTTAAAACCTTGAAGCTGTATAAGGGTGTTTAATAAGGAGTAAGCTGTATAAGGTAAGCTTTTATATGGTTTAATAAGGAGTAGCATATAGCTTATAAGGGTAAGCTTAATAAGGAGTTAGCTGTATACGGGGTAAGCTTTATAAGGGGTAAGCTTAATAAGGAGTATACTGTATAAGAGGTAAGCTTTATAAGGGGTAAGCTGTATAAGGGGTAAGCTGTATATAAGTAAGCTTAATAAGGAATAAGCTGTATAAGGGATAAGCTTTATATGTAAATTAAAATGTGTGTGCATGTGTGTGGATAGATATTAATGTGTTTATTTATGTATGTATGTATGTATGTATGTATGTATGTATGTATATGTGTGTGTATGTATGTAAGAGAAAGGCTGATAATAGTGTGAAGGGAAATAGTGATGATGTTACAATAGCGATCATAAGGTTCAACTATGGGAGTACCCCGTGTGTGTGTGTGTGTGTGTGTGTGTGTGTGTGTGTACAGGTGGGAGGGGGTTGATTGGTCAGGAGGGACAAGGTCACCTGTTGCATTATCCTCACCACCTGACCTCAACACACACACACACACACACACGCACACACACACACACACACACACACACGGAACTTACCTAACCTAACCTAACCTCATTCAACAGGTAGCATTAAGGAGTTTTAATCAACAGGTGAAATAAGCTGGGGAGGGGTGGGTGGGGGGGTTAATCTTCAGGTGTTCCTAATTTGCATATGAAGAGTGTTAAGAATTTAGGTCAATTATTTCATGGTAGGGTTAAGTTTGGTTAGGGTTTGGTTAGGTTAGGTTAGGGTTTGGTTAGGTTTGGTTAGGGTTAGATTTCGTTTGGTTAAGTTAAGTTAAGGTGTTTTTATACTAGGAGGTAAGAAAAAGCTTGATTCTTAAAGCTTTGTAAGTTAAAACACTCTCATAACCTAACGTAACCTAAGAAAGCCTTAAAAACAGCTTTATGTCGTAAGATAAGTAAGTCAGTCAAGCTTTTTTATCACGTTCTGAAGAGAGCTAATACACAATAGAGATTTAATAAGCTTAGTGGAGGGAAAAATGGTGGATTGTGTGTGTGGGGAGGAGGGGGGGGGGTGAGGAGGAGGAGGAGGGAGGGGGGTGAGGAGGGAGGGGAGAGGAGGGGAGGGGGGAGGAGGAGGGTGGGAGGTGGGGGAGGGGAGGGGGTGGGTGAGGAGGAGGAGGGAGGGGTAGAGGAGAGGGTAGGAGGTGGGGGGAGGGGGAGGGGGGTGGAGGAGAGGAGGGAGGGAGGGGTGAGGAGGAGGGGGAGGTGGGGGAGGGGGTGAGATGGAGGAGGTAGGTAGGAGAAGAGAAAGGAGAGGAGGAAGAGGAGGAAGAGAGGAGGAAGAGGGGGGAAGAGAGGAGAGGGGGGAAGGGGATTATTGAAGGATTAGGTACGGTAAAAATTATTGAGAGATGAGATTAGTGGTGACCCTCAAGATGGCGGCCATGGTGGAGAGAGAGAGAGAGAGAGAGAAAAAGAGAGAGAGAGAGAGAGAGAGAGAGAGAGAGAGAGAGAGAGAGCAACAAGGTGAGGGCCTCGTAAGGGATCTTGTCAAGTTTGTTTACATTTAACAGCTGATGGTCCGTGACGTCACTGATTCTATTAGTTTAACTTTTTCTCTCTTCTTCTCTTCTCTCTCTCTCTCTCGACTCAGTTACAAAATATAGGTTAGTGGTATTTCGTGACCAGTTGGTGGAGAAGAGAGAGAGAGAGAGAGAGAGAGAGAGAGAGACAGAGAAAGAGAGAGAGAGAGAGAAGAGAGAGAGAAGAGAGAGAGAGAGTTTTAATTTAAAGTCTCGTTATTTTTTGTTAATGTTATATTGTGTGACGTCATTTCCGCTAGAATGTGCTGGGGGGAGGTGAGGGGAGGGGTAGTGAGGGGGAGGGGGGTAAGGAAGGGAGGGGTGGGGGAAGAATTTGGGTGACGGGTTGGGGGCTGGGGGGGTAGGAGGAGGGACACGTCCTTGTCAAGGTTGTTGGGTCGAGCGCTCCTCCTGCCTCCTCTCTTCCCTCCTCCTCCTTCCCCCCTTCCCCTTAACACTCCTCCTCTTCCTCCAATTTCTTAACTATCCTCCTTCTCTTAACCCACCTCCTCCTCCTTCTTCCCCCTTTCTCTCCTCCCTCCCTCCTCCTTCCTCCTCTCCTCCTCCTCCTCCTCCTCCTCCTCCTCCTCACTTCCCAACCTAATCCCAACCTAACTTGTACACCTACAACCACCACTATAGTCAAACATGTACTCTTACAGTCATGTACACCTGCTCATTAAACACGTACACAGAGCCATGTACACATACACATACACACACACACGTACAACAAGCCATATTCTCGTACACTTACACAGACAGGTAAACAGTCATACACAGGTAGACACTCGTACACACAGCTATACACACACTCACAGAGACGCACAGAGAGCCATACACACCTACACGTACACAACCATACACACGTACACAGAACCACGTCCCACCAACAAAGAGAGAGAGAGAGAGAGAGAGAGAGAGAGAGAGAGAGAGAGAGAGAGAGACGGGCAGATAGACAGAGAGAGAGAGAGAGAGAGAGAGAGACGGGCAGATAGACAGAGAGAGAGAGAGAGAGAGAGAGAGAGAGAGAGAGAGAGAGAGAGAGAGACGGCAGATAGACAGAGAGAGAGAGAGAGACCTTCACCATTACCGTCCCCGACACACATACACACACACGGTACAGGTATACACACACAGTACAGGTATACACACACGGTACAGGTATACACACACGGTATAGGTATACACAACAGATGTACAACGAGTTTTTTACCTCATTCTCTTAGTTTCTTATCATCAGCATATGTTGAGGAGCGGTGGTCGATGGGCATCTGGGGGTCTTTGGACATCTGGGGTCTTTGCATTGTTGGGGTCTTTGGGCATCTGGGGGTCTTTGGGCATCTGGGGTCTTTTGGGCATCTGGGGGTCTTTGGGCATCTGGGGGTCTTTGGGCATCTGGGAGGTCTTTGGGCATCTGGGGTCTTTGGGCACCGGGGGTCTTTGGGCATCTGGGGGTCTTTGGGCATCTGTTGGGGTCTTTGGGCATCTGGGCTGGCATCTGGGGGTCTTTGGGCATCTTGGGGGTCTTTGGGCATCTCGAGTCTTTGGGCATCTGTTGGGGTCTTGAAACCTAACCTAACCCACATTTCCTGGCGAGGATGGAGGTCGCTGTGTTTGTGAAGATGTCAAATTTATAGGTCACATCTGCCTAAGTAACGCAGGTTAGTGTTAGGTTAGGTTAGGTTAGTGTTAGGTTGTTGTTATGTTTGGTTAGGTTAGGTTAGGTTAGGTTAGGTTAGGTTGGGTTGTGCTGTTTGGTTGGGTTAGGTTGGGTTATGTTTGGTTAGGTTAGGTTGTTTATTCTCTATGTGATCTCTCTCTCTCTCAACACACACACATACACACACAGAGTCGTGGAAGTGTAAGTAACAGGGCAGCATTGCACAAGAAAACAGAAATCAGGTGTGTGTACTTGGAAGGAGGGTCGACCGAGGTCACCCACGTGTACAACTACCACCCCTTCCTACCACAACTACCACCCCTTCCTACCACAACTGCCACCCCCTTCCTACCATAACTACCAACCCCTTCCTACCATAACTACCAACCCCTTCCTACCATAACTACCACCCCTTCCTACCACAACTACCAATCCTATCCTACCACAACTGCCACCCCTTCCTACCACAACTACCACCCCTTTCTACTACAACTGCCACCCCCTTCCTACCACAACTACCACCCCTTCCTACCACAACTACTAACCCTTCCTACCACAACTAACACTCCTTCCTACCACACAACTACCAATTTCTACCACAACTGCCACTTCTTCCTACCACAACTACCAATCCTTCCTATCACAACTACCACCCTTTCCTACCACAACTGCCACCCTTCCTACCACAACTACTCTTCTACGACAACTACCACTTCTTCCTACCACAACTACAACCCTTTCCTACCACAACTGCCACCCTTCCCTACAACTACAACCCCTTCCTACCACAACTACCACCTTCTACCACAACTACCACCCTTCCTACCACAACTACACACCCCTTCCTACCACAACTACCAACCCTTCCTACCACAACTTTATAAATTTATTTACATAATCATTAGACACGGAGTTGTACCAGACTTGTGAAACAGGCCAATGTAGTACCCATATTCAAAAAGGAGACAGAGCATCAGCGTCAAATTACCGGCCGATCAGTTTGACGTCAGTAGTGGGAAATTTCTTGAATCAATTATAGCAGATAGCATCCGATAGCATCTAGAGAAAAGCAAATTAATCTACGACTCTCAACATGGGTTTACAAAGGAAAATCTTGTCTAACAAATCTGCTGACGTTTTAGGAAAGTCTTCGAGGTAGTAGATAATGACGAAAATTACGATGTTATTTACTTAGACTTTTAGCAAAGCATTTGACAGAGTACCGCATCAGAGGCTTCTGAGAAAAGTTAAGGCTCATGGTATCGAGGAAAGTTTTAAATTGATAAAAATTATGGCTCACTGGATAGAACGCAGAGGGTCAGCGTAGATGGTGATTAAATCTGAGTGGGGCCGTGTAACCAGTGGGGTTCCCCAGGGTGGGCAGTTAGCCCACTTTGTTCATAATCTACATAAACGATCTAGATACTGGGATCAGCAGTGACATAAGCAAGTTTGCGAATGACACCAAAATAAGGGAAGCAGATTAATTCAGGGCAGGATGCAAATGCACTGCAGGAGGATTTAAATAAACTGCAGGAGTGGTCAGAAAAATGGCAAATGAAATTCAACACCAGCAAGTGCAGCGTACTTAATATTGAAGAACAAATACTGTCAATGTATACAGCCTAACAACATCAACCTAGAGAAGTCGACTTGTGAAAGAGACCAGGGTTCTTGTAAGCCCGACCTACGCCCAGAAAAACAGTGCAAGTTAATGTTCGAAATAAAATATATTGGGTTTATATCTAGAAGTGTAAGTAACAAGAGTACAGAGGTCTTATTGCAACTATATCTTGCCCTAGTCAGGCCGCACCTGGATTATGTTCAGTTCTGGTGCCCTATTATAGAATGGATATGAATCACTAGAGTCGGTGCAGCGAAGAATGACGAAAATGATTCCGGGACTTAGAAACCTTCCATATCAGGATAGGTTAAAGAAACTAAACTTGCATTCCCTAGAAAGACGAAGAGTGGGGAGATATGATAGAAGTATTTATGGGTGAAAGGAATCAATAAAGGGATATAGTTAAGTTCTTATAATATCCGAGCAGGATAGGACTCGGAACAACAGATTCAAGTTGGATAAGTTTAGGTTTAGGAGGGAGATAGGAAGGAACTGGTTCACAAATAGGGTGGTGGACGAGTGGAACAAGCTTAGCAGCTTTGTAGTAAGTGCTGGAAAGTTTTAAAAGGAGGCTGGATAGATTCATGGATGATAGAGAGTGGTAGTAACTCTCGACAGGAGCTGCCAACCGGCCTATTGCAGACTCCTTATGTTAACTACCACCCCCTTCCTACCACAACTACCACCGCCTTTCTACCACAACTACCACCCCCTTCCTACCACAACTACCACCCCATTCCTACCACAATTACCTGTACTTACCACCATCGACCTCACCTGTCCGGTTCAGTCCATCAATTCTTGCACCTGCAGGAACCACCCACCCACCCCACCCGTCCCCTCCCACCCACCCACCCACCCACCCTGGAGTCACCCGTCCACTTCCTCCGGCAATTATACCTCCCCACCCACCCTCCCCAACCAACCCAACCCACCCACCACCCCTCTCACCCACCTTCCCAGTTCAGGTCAGTCACTTCCCCAGGCGCTGTTCTCCACCCGCCACCCCACCCACCCCACCAACATTCCCAAGCGTCCATACTACCCCACCCACCCACTCACCCACCCACTCACCACCTTCCCCAGCAAACCACCCCACCCACCTACCCACCCGCCCCACCCACATTCCCAGCCGTCCACTTCATCCACCTTCTAACCTTTTAACACCCTTCCCGCCCTGACCTCTCCCTCCCCCTCCCTCTCCCCTCCTGACCCCACCGTCCCCCCTGACCCCTCCTCCCCCTGGCCCTCCTCCTCCCCCTGACCCCTCCTCCTCCCCTGGTCCCCCACCCGTCCCCCTGACCCCTCCTCCACCCCCCAGCCCCTCCTCCTCCCCCCTGACCCCTCCTCCTCCCCCTGACCCCTAATCACCTGTATGTAATGATTCTTGTTGTTTCATCTCGCCCCTATACAAGATGCAAGGTGCTCAATAAACTAGCCTCCCAGTTGGGCAAATTGTAAAAAAAATGTATAAATTTTTTGTTGTTGTGGTGGTGGTTGTGTGGTTGTTGTTGTGTGATGGTGGTGGTTGTGTGTTGGTGGTGGTTGTGTGGTTGTTGTTGTGGTGGTGGTGGTTGTGTGAGTGGTGGTTGTGTGGTTGTTGTTGTGGTGGTGGTGGTTATTTGTGGTGGTGGTTTGTGTAGTTTGTGGTTGTTGTGGTGGTGGTTGTGTGGTTGTTGTGGTGGTGGTGGTTGTGTGTTGTTGTGGTGGTGGTGGTGGTTGTTGTAGTGGTGTTTGGTTATGTGTTTGTTGTTGTGGTGGTGGTGGTTGTTAATTGTTATTGTTGTTGTTGTTGTTGTCCTTACTGTTACAGCTACTGTTGTCATAAATAAACTACTGTATACCTACTAATTACTGTTGCTACCGTTTTTGTCTCTTACTGTTGGTGTTTTTGTTGTATTGGCCAGACAGTTCGCCCTCTCACCACACTCCACCACCACCACTACCACACCACCACCACCACCACTACCACCTCTCCTCAACCACACCACCACACTCCAGCACCACCCCACTACCACCACACCATCCCTCACACCACACCACCACACCATCCTTCCCACCACCACTACCACCACCACCACTACCACCACACCACCACCACCCATCCCTCCACCACCACCACCACACCACCACCTCCATCCCCTCTCCCTCACCACCTCCAGCACCACCCCCACCACTACCACACCATCCTCACACCCACACTACCCACACCCCTCACCACCACCACACCACCCCCACACCCCCCACCCCCCTCACCAGGAAGGTTAGGGTCATGACCTCTATCTCTCCAAGCTGGACTTGACCCACCTACTTACCTCCCTCCTCCTTGTCCTGCTGTCTGTCTCTCTCCTCTCTCTCTCTCTCGTGTTCCAGTATTTGTTGACATAGTTATGATAGAAAACGCTTAAATGGGAAGCTAGGCTTATTTTACTTACTTATTTGACTTATTTTTCTTGTTTATTTGCTTATTTTCTTTATTTATTTGTGTTTTTGCTTTATTAACTACTTTTCTGTTTATTTGTTTACTTTACGCACCTATTTTTGTTTTTACCTGACGTCATAAGTAGATGGATGACGTCATAAGTAGATAGATGACGTCATTGGTGGGTAGATGACTCATAGATGGTTAGATGACGTCATAGATAGATGCATGACGTCACGGCCCTTATATGGGTCTTTGTAAAATTAAATCAAACTTTTTTCTTAGTAAAATTATTAATAAAAGAGAGAGAGAAAAGAGAGAGAGAGAGAGTCAAGCGTTGCGAGGTTATAATCAATCATAGTGAAGGTTGTAAAGTATAATACACAACAACAACAACAACAACAACAACAACCACAATAACAACAACAATAATAATAATAATAACAACAACAACAGCAACAACCACCACCACCACCACCACAACAACAACAACAACAACAACACCAATAACA